CCCCCCCGGACCCCCCAATACAGTAAAACTGCACATTTTAGAGTGGCCTTTTATTGTGGCCAGCCTAAGGCACACCTGTGCAATAATCATGCTGTCTAATCAGCATCTTGATATGCCACACCTGTGAGGTGGATGGATTATCTCGGCAAAGGAGAAGTGCTCACTAACACAGATTTAGACAGATTTGTGAACAATATTTGAGAGAAATAGGCCTTTTGTGTACATAGAAAAAGTCTTAGATCTTTGAGTTCAACTCCTGAAAAAATGGTGGCAAAAACAAAAGTGTTGCGTTTATAATTTTGTTCAGTGTATGTACGGTCGCCGTGATTTTGCCAAGTAAGACATGTTCCTGGATCAACATCTTTTGTTTATCCTGGATCAACATTACTGTCCAAAAATATAGACTAAACACAATCCCTACCCATAATTTATTCCTAAAATCAGTGTGAAATGATAGCTGATTAACAAGGGTGTAGAAGCACCTAACCCTGATCGTAAGCTTAAAACAGATATTTCCTGAAAATTATCCCTCAATTCTGATTGGTTAATTGGAATGTTGTTCCAGGATCAACAAGGATGTTAATCCAGGAACATGTTGTGCCCAGTCTCGGGTCTGATCACCTGTTCCTTGCTGTCTCTGTATTTGGGTGTTTGTTGTGTGTTGTTGTGCGTGGCTTGTTTTGACAGCTCGCCACGTGCGCATTTGTCAGTATGATTGTTTCCCCACCCTCGTTTCTCTGCTCGCCTCGTTTCATACCAGATTCTTGTTATCTCATTAGCTTCCCCTTATAGCTCCTCGTGTTTCTCTGTCTTTTGTCAGATTGTTGTGAGTATTCCCTTGCTCTGACTGTCATTGTTTGTATCGCTTACCAGTCCTGTCTTGTCTCGTCCAGGCTCCAGTGCTCGTAGCTGCCTGTTTATTTTCCCGCACCTCTCTGTGCATTCCGAAACCTGTGGGCTCCCTCCGGCATCCGCCTACCCTAGGACTCTGCAGTCTCGTTGTTGGGCTGCTCAGCCTCTCGCTCGGCGAGCTGTCCTTCCGCCGGAACTGCTTCAGTGTATGACAGTCAGCGGAAGTGAGAGAAAAGTGTTTATTATGTTTGAAATATGGATCTTTTTTCTTTAAAAGACACATGGATTCGCTACAGGGGGGCTTTATTCACCCCCCGGAGCCGTCTGCGGCACATTTTATTATGAATGCGTGAGCTTTATTTGACGACTTGTGGACTGTTCAACTGCAACACCCGCTGACTGCAATGATAGAGCTTGGAATAGCCAGGACAATTTTTAATATAACTCCGACTGGATTCGTCTGAAAGAAGAAAGTCATATACACCTAGGATGCCGCGAGGGTGAGTAAAACACAAGCTAATTTTCATTTTTGGGTGAACTAACCCTTTAATTCTACCCCATACCTAAACTTAATAACTGCCTTACTAACTTTTAATAAGCTGCTAATTAGGAGTTTATTGAGGGAAAAGTTAATAGTGAATATTGTGTTCCCTAATCTAAAGTGTTACCATTTAAACTAGAATACATTTTCATTAAATTGCAAATAACATGCAATTAAGTGTCCGAAAGCATTACATTTGATTTGCATTCAAATTTATTTGTATTATTTCCATAATAAGTGCTCTTTTTAAACGTATGCATATTATTAAAGTTAAATGTTAATGTTTCTACAGTACAGACGACCATTAGTTTAGTTTAGTTTAATGTACCATTAGTACATAGTTCACCCTTACAGACTGTAATGGGAAAGTAGATACTGAGCAAAAGCAAAACTGCCTTCAAAATCAAATGACCTAAGACAGGACACTGCTGCCACCTGTAGACGTGAGGGCGTTGTGTAAAGCAGTGTGACTATGAGCTGCTTTCACTTTCACTTTGACTTCTTAGCCGTTACCATGTAAACACACCTGTTCATAGTACACCTAACTATAGCTTGTGATAAAATATTATGGATATGGACAATTAGAAGAAACACTGGTAATGTATTTTTGTTGGATGACAGAATGTTTCTATTCTCAGGACAGTAGACAAATATTTTTCACAAACACTTTTTCTTTTTTTTCTTTTTTTTTTGAGAAAAGCTCATGTACAATAAAAAATTAACAGACTGTTACACACTTCCTCCAAGGAGAATAATACAGCACCGTTTTGGCATACGTCAAACGTAACAAGGCAATAAGAACTTTTTTGTTGAACATGGACTACTTGATGACAATTAGATGCATTGACTGTACACTGTGGCTGTTGTTTGTATTTTTGTACGTTTTAAAACTTTTTAACAAACACATAACAGTTTGCTCACATGCACCTTTTCCAGCACACCTGTTATTGACTAGAGGGTAATGTTTCATTGCACCCTCATGTTTGTTGTTCTTTTATCTCTGAATTGTATTTATTGATTTAATTGTGTTTTTGTTCTGTTGTAATAAATATCTCTTCCGCGATCAGTAAGTCAAGGTTTATACTTTTTTCTTTACATCAAAATTTTTTTTTGGCAATGATGGATGTGACATGGAATAATTCAAACCTTGTCTCTAAACCAGCAAGCCTGAGGCACCACAAATTGGGCACCACAGTTCATAAAGTGCTGACAAAAACATAACACAAAAAAGAGAGAGACAAACACTGAGTCAGGGAGACATTTCTTAGGCTAACGTGAATATAAAAAAAACCCTGACTGGGAGAACTTTGATGGCAAATTTTGGCCTATGATTTGCAGTATCTGAGAGTAGCAGGGCACACCCGGGATCTGTTTTTCCTTAAGGGTCTGATCTTAGTCAAGATAAGACTGAGAGACCAACACTTAACACATTCAAAGACATCCTTTGAACAAATCACAGCTCAGAGATTTGTGGCACGCTTCTCTGTCTAAATTGTCCTGATCTTAATCTGTTCTTTGTGGCTTATGTCATTTTATGAATACAGTTATGCAGAGGATGGGCACTGACCACAGAACAGCACATTTACTCTGAGATGCTCGTTTCACATAGGCCCGGACCTTATCTTTAAGTGAGGCAAATCCTTAGCCGAAGATGAGAGAGGATTTACCCCCCGGTGGGTTTCTACGACCAGAAGGAACCCCAGCTGCAGGCTGCTCACTTGCAGAGAGGCAAGGTGAAGCTGGTGTGTCATCCTGCTCCTGAATAGGTTCAGGTTCTTCTGTGCTATCTGTGAACATAAAAATGAAAATAAATAGTAATTATCAGATAATGTAATAACATTTCATTTAAAATATATGGAAAGAAAATGTTCTTTTTATTTGTTTTATACTACTGTATGCCATTGATCCATTTGTCAGAAGGTTGAAAGTATCAAACTGATATCCTTCGACTGGATGGAATCATAGTCTGATGCAAAAAAAATCAGAATCTGTGACCATCATACACTACGTGATTTTCTATAAGATCTGTGAACTTTAATCTGTAGACAGGCTCTGACTTTCGGCAACTAGCGTCGACTTACCCAAACTACACTGAACAAAATTATAAATGCAACACTTTTGTTTTTGCCCCCATTTTTTCATGAGCTGAACTTCTATGTACACAAAAGGCCTATTTCTCTCAAATATTGTTCACAAATCGGTCTAAATCTGTGTTAGTGAGCACTTCTCCTTTGCCGAGATAATCCATCCACCTCACAGGTGTGGCATATCAAGATGCTGATTAGACAGCATGATTATTGCACAGGTGTGCCTTAGGCTGGCCACAATAAAAGGCCACTCTAAAATGTGCAGTATTACTGTATTGGGGGGTCCGGGGGGGGTCCGAAAACCAGTCAGTATCTGGTGTGACCACCATTTGCCTCACGCAGTGCAACACATCTCCTTCACATACAGTTGATCAGGTTGTTGATTGTGGCCTGTGGAATGTTGGTCCACTCCTCTTCAATGGCTGTGCGAAGTTGCTGGATATTGGCAGGAACTGGAACATGCTGTCGTATACGCTGATCCAGAGCATCCCAAACATGCTCACAACGTTGACATCAGCAAACCGCTCACCCACACGACGCCATACACGCTGTCTGCCATCTGCCCTGTACAGTGAAAACCGGGATTCATCTGTGAAGAGAACACCTCTCCAAAGTGCCAGATGCCATCGAATGTGAGCATTTGCCCACTCAAGTCGGTAACGACGACGAACTGCAGTCAGGTTGAGACCCCAATGAGGATGACTATGCATGCAGATGAGCTTCCCTGAGACGGTTTCTGACAGTTTGTGCAGAAATTCTTTGGTTATGCAAACCGATTGTTGCAGCAGCTGTCTGGGTGGCTGGTCTCAGACGATATTGGAGGTGAAGATGCTGGATGTGGAGGTCCTGTGCCGGTGTGGTTACACGTGATCTGTGGTTGTGAGGCTGGTTGGATGTACTGCCAAATTCTCTGAAATGCCTTTGGAGATGGCTTATGGTAGAGAAATTAACATTCAATTCACGGGCAACAGCTCTGGTGGACATTCCTGCAGTCAGCATGCCAATTGCACGCTCCCTCAAAACTTGCGACATCTGTGGCATTGTGCTGTGTGATAAAACTGCACATTTTAGAGTGACCTTTTATTGTGGCCAGCCTAAGGCACACCTGTGCAATAATCATGCTGTCTAATCAGCATCTTGATATGCCACACATGTGAGGTGGATGGATTATCTCGGCAAAGGAGAAGTGCTCACTAACACAGATTTAGACAGATTTGTTAACAATATTTGAGAGAAATAGGCCTTTTGTGTACATAGAAAAAGTCTTAGATCTTTGAGTTCAGCTCATGAAAAATGGGGGCAAAAACAAAAGTGTTGCGTTTATAATTTTGTTCAGTGTAAATAGGGGGGAAATCGGGGCAAAAGTTGTGTAGTGTATTCCAGCCTAAAGTGAAAATGATCCAAAAAATATTGGAAACATCTAGCACATGTGCCCAACTGTATGTACTCATTGTATTCATGTTGAACCTTGAATACAGGTGTACACATCTTTATTATTATTTTCAATTATGTTTTTCAATATTTATATGTTTAATAAAGTTTTTTTTTGCAAATGACATACAATATTTATTTATAAATAATATTATTATATTAGTATTATTATTCTTGAGGAGTGACATTGTACAACCTGAACTAGCCTTGCTTTGTCATAAAAAGATCAAATTAATGGATATTTTAAGAGAAAAGCGTCCGCATGCATGCTTCTGCATGTTAGTTTACCCACATGATTTTTTCTTTATGCCCTCCAAAAATGATATGAAATAAAAACTATTAGAAAACATGCTCAAGATGTGCATTCACGTAATCCAAGAAAAAAAGTGTGATGTCATTGATGCAAATATGAGTCAGAACACTCACCAACAGTGATTGAGTTTCCCTCACCATTCTGTGCAAAAATAAAGCACAATCTCAGCAATAATTTTTACAAAAAGGTCATAAGTCAGTCTATCCAAGGTCAAGTTTGTTTTCACTCAGTAATGAAATTGTTTCCATATCTTACCACAGGTACATTATTTTCGACTGTGGTGTTACTTTGGTTGGCGGGTTGAGCAGTACATCTTCTGAGAGGGGCAGATGGCTCTCCACACAACACACCTGTAGGCTTCCCACCTTTAAAACAAATGAATGTTCTTGTGTACTGAGGTTATGAACAACAGTGAATAGCTACAGCTCAAATGTTCAGACTAAAAGTTGTATTTTGCTCATTGTTATGCATAAAATACACTAATACACTTCAGTAACTATTACAAGACAGCTATACTGCAAACTGCATGCTTTTTAGTTGCAAATAACAAATGTTATTGTCAGGCAGTGTTTTTAGAAAAGCACATGAAAAGACCTGAATTTCTTATCTCACATGGCAACCTGTAAACCTGTTACAAAATTTACATTAAAAAAACCCCAAGCAAAAATGAGCTGAGATTCAGCATTTTAAGCACATTGTGCAGTCTTTTGTGTTTAAGAATTAGTAAGACCTAGCAAGTTTTTAAATGTGGAACTGAAACAGTATGTGGTTGCTCAATATCACACATGCCTAAGTTGCCAGTCATTTATCTCTAAAAAGTATGAGATTTGAAGCAGCGCATACACATATACAACCATTAAAATATTTATCATCCATCTTCTCTAAGGTTTAGCCATCTTAAAAGGCAAGGGAAAGACACTGCCTAGAAGTATGCTATTAAAAAGGTAAATGATTATATATCACTCAAAAAAAAATTTTTTATATATATATATATATATATGTGTGTGTGTGTGTGTGACCATGGACCACAAAACCATAAGGGTACATTTTTCCAAATTGAGATTTATACATCATCTAAATGCTGAATAAATAAGGTTTCCATTGATGTATGGTTTGTTAGGATATGACAATATTTGGCCAACAATTTGAAAATCTGGAATTGGAGGGTGCAAAAAAAAATCTAAATATTGAGAAAATCACCTTTAAAGTTGTCCAAATGAAGTTCTTAGCAATGCATATTACTAATCAAAAATTAAGTTTTGATATATTTACAGTAGGAAATTTACAAAATATATTCATGGAACATGATCTTTACTTAATGTTCTAATGATTTCTGGCATAAAAGAAAAATCAATCATTTTGACCCATACAATGTATTTTTGGCTATTGCTACAAATACCCCAGCGACTTAAGACTGGTTTTGTGGTCCAGGGTCACACACACACACACACACACATATACATATACATATATATATATAATAATAATAATAATAAAAAAATCAGCACTTGGTGGATTGTTCCTTCGATAGGCATGAGGGTCCTCAGGTTCGGCAAATATACTAGATGCCATTTTGTTTTTCTTCACAGGTTTCTCTTCATCTGTGCCAAAGCAGATGTTTGAACCTCCACCTGGTGGACGCAGCACTCTGGGATGGTAAACAAAGACACATTAAGATACAACAAAATATGAGAGTGAAAAATTTAAGGGGGTCTGAATACTTTCCGTACCCACTGTATTTTATTTTTAAAAGTTCATTGCTTTTGATTATGGTTTCCTGTTCATTCCCTGTCAGCTTTTATGTTTGGCTTCTAAGGACTAAAAATATACAGATTTGTAGTATAATTTAAGCCAATACTCCAATACTAGAATATAATTCACACATACCCTAACATAGCATATCGCATTGTTTTTTTGGCAATATCAATCCAAAAGAATGACCCAGCTTTTTATTAAATAAACTGGAGTCTCCATCTCATGTGAGCAATGCGCATCATATTACTTTACCTTAAATTATGACCATATAATTCTCAAAGGCCCTTTTATTTCCTTTAGGGATAGAATGTTGAGTAAAATTACTTAGTGCACCTTTAAAAAAAAAAGTAGGCTTTAGTAGAGAGAAAATAAGATTAGTTTGGGTAGGGGGTTAAGCATCTTTTCATCCAAATATAATTGTGAAGAAAAACGTGTTTCACAACAGATACAAATAAGCCTATATATAATGCAAATATATCCTAATTCCTCAGGTACAAGTATTGTTTGATTTAATTTGCTTTATTAGCTTAATTATATTCTGTAAATCAAAACAATTCTCATACTTAATGTCTCATACATTCGTGCCAATAAAGCTTCAATGAACTGAGCTGAAACAGCATGCTGAAGTACATCTCCCTCCAGCAGTCTATTGGAGAAACGACGAAGAATATCTGCAGGTCATTAGTGCATTCAGTTAATGAGCATAATACAATTCTCTACTACACCTACTGAACCGCACCCAACCTTAAATACACACACATGCTCTCAAGCATCCTCCCGTACTCTGAAAGTCTGGAGAGGGACCGGTTTCACATTTACAAACAATTGATGGAATGCATTGAAGAAGCTGTACTAGTTCCTCATCAGTTATGTCCTTTTGTAGATGCTGCAGTCAAAGGCCGTGTCACAAAGCCAAGCGAGCTGCCTGCTTAGACAGCATTTTGGAGCATTAAAATATGCATTTAGCAGACTTGAAAAGAGACAGTGATGCCTCAAAAATTCAGCACGCGTTTCTGGTATCCCTCAAAAGACGTCTAACGTTAGATAGGCAGCTAACAAGATTTTCAGACACTGCCGGAGGATGCACATACTGTTACAACAAAACTGGCATTTTAAAAACCGGAAAATCCAGTAAACTTTGCCTTTGATCTAGTGTGTAACATTTTATCCCCAAAACGCAGTATTTGTGCCCAAGATAGTTCTCATTAGCATCGCCACTCGTTTTTACACCAATAATAAGTCATTTAGTCAGTGATATTACATCTCAAATAACGTCTTTAGACATTACAACGGTTAAATAATTTGCTGTTTACTACAACCTAAAGCGCTTGAGCATTGTTATCTTCCTACAGACATCTATCAGCACCTGGAGCTGCTCCTCGCGGTCGGGTCCATGCCTTGAAAAGTGGTGGTGGTCGTCATTTTGAACCCCCAAAACTTCTGTTCACGGCTTCTCCCAAACTATATATATTTGACAGATTATTGTCATCAAGCCACAGTGAGCGTTTCCCGCTCAGGTCATCAGTCTCTCGGTGCGGAATCTGCGCTCCAGTACACGCCCATTAGACGCGATTATTGCTGCACTTCTGCAGATTCGCCACTGGAGCGGCGCCAGACAGCAAACTGGTTTTGTGAAAATACAGCTGCGGTCGTAAATTTAGAATAAAACCTGTCGACAACTTAAGGACACATACAAAACTATACAAAATAAGCAAACATTCACTAATGCTCAAGAACACGATGATCAGGGTAAATTGTATTTATTCTATCTTTTGGGTAATATTTAAGTAATGAAGAATCAAAATAATCCAACATTTCCACTGCTTGAAAAAAACATGCACATTTTTTCAAGCAATTTAGTTTTGTGGACTACATGTAATGATTTGTTTTGTGATAGCTTATTTATTGCAACACTGAATCAGAATTTTTCATGAGCCCTCTTATTTTGTTACATTTTGCAGATTCTGCAACTTGTAAACCACAACTGCTGTACCATTAAGGAAAATAATAAACGAGTTATAAAAGTGTTTTACTCCAACAAAATTTCAATTCACAATTCAAACATTTCAATTCACAACACAAGATACTGAATAAAACTGTCCGGAGTACAAAAGAGAAATACATAAACATATAAAACATATATATAAAAGCCCAATGGCTTCAGAGCAAACAAAACAGTACTTCAGCACTGACACTGACTGTAATTCTATCTATTAACCCCTCCCCCCCCCCAAAAAAAATATCTGATCACTGATCAAAAGTATTTTAGTCTCGACACTCTTAAGTTCACATCTGATGAAATAAATGAATACGTTTACAACATCATTCATCTGATTTGCGAGAGCTGGTGGGCATTTCAGGCAAGCTTTTGGCAATGTGAAGAGAGGTCAGCCTAAATTTAGAATAAAATAAAAAAAAAATAGGAAACAGGGAGGACTGCGGTGATGGAAGGCAGAGGTAGTTGTTATTTACATCAGGTCCCCTGTCTGTTGCTGAAATACATCAATTGTATCCTCATTCTCCATTTCTAACTAGAAATAAATAAATAAATATATCAGACTTTATTGCATACTAAAAGGATTGTGACATGCAGAACTGGTCATATCAGTGAACTGTACCTGAGCTGGTGTGTCAGTCTCATTAATTGGAATTAACTGAAATCTGCAGGACCGTAGCTCTCCAGGACCAGGGTTGGATGCCCCTGTCTTAAAAACAACACTCAGTGGTTGTTTACATTGGGCACTTTTTGTTTCAATTGGAATTAAATCATTCTGATTGATGAATTCAAAAAGAGTGTTTACATGATAGCTAAATATTTATGTGTTAGCTTCAATATCAGGTTTGCCCTTTTGACATGTGCACACTGCACAAATATACAGAGTTTCCCACTGTTAGCACATAAAATTCTCCTGCCATTGCCTTTCTTTGTTTTAATGAGCAGAGTTAATATGTATCTATTTCAGGTCCTAATTAGGAGACAAGCACATGAAACTTTGTGCCATGCTGCTTTTATTTATCAAGCCGTAAAATCACCCATTCCTGTGGCCAAAACAAGCCATCTGTGGATGAGAGTATAAAGTGAGGACTGATTATGACGAATTTTAGAATAACATGACAGTCATTTATGACACTTCAATCCAAAAAAACAACAACAGCTTTTTAGATCATTTTCAACCATTTTCTCATGCTCAGGGTTTCTGCAGATATGAACAAGTTAAATTTAAGACTTTTTAAGACCTTTTAAATACCACCTTATATGAAATTTAAGACCTAAACCTGTAATGGAAATACACATTTTATTACATACATATATGTAATATTTAATGTGTATAAATTAAAAAGAAAACAAAATATCATTGCTGTAATAAATTATATTTATTACTACGATATACGATATACAGTATACTTACATATATACTTACATATTTTTTTTATTTTACTCTCAAAGCCGTAGAGCCCATTGACTGCCATTATATAACTGACAGACTGCATCGGTTTGAGTTGAAAATCTTAGTTTGTGTTCTACTGAAGAAACAAACTCACCTACATTTTGGATGCCCTGGGGGTAGTGTTGTCAAAAGACCCGGTACTTCGGTACCAAGTCGGTACTAAAAAAATGAAAACATTACAGTACCAGGTTTTTTTTTAAAGTACCGGTGGTACAAAGTACCCGGTCAACCTGGTTCTTTTTTTTTTTCCCAGTCCGCCCCGCGTGGAAATTAATGGCGCAGACATGCGGTTTCATTTACTACACACAGGCCTACTGAAGCTCGCGGTGTTTTCAGCCTTTGCCGCCTCAATATATGAGTACATAAACAAAATCTCTAGAGCTGCTCTGAGTCACTTCATGAGCATTTTACTTATTTTGAGAAAACTATCGTCATATCATATACAAAGAGACAACAATGTTTCAAAAAAACACCAGTGTTTCAGGAGTTTAGTACACAGAATAGGACACATGCTTATTAGATAACCGTATTTGAGTTGATGTATATGCTTTTATTTATTATTTTTTTAATTAACTATTTTTTCCAAACCATTGTTGGATGCATTGTCTCAAGTAGTTATGCAAAGATTTCTTATCTATTAACTATTTCTTATGATTTTAAATCTGCATTGAACTTCAGATCAATCTCAAAGTAAAAGGCAGTACTAAAGTCTGATTTTGTGGTGGATGTGTTCAAATTTGATCATCTTAATTCAAGTGATGAAGGATTTTGAAAGTCTGGTCTGGTCAAAGTTAACCCTGCATGGTGTAAATGTTTGAAAATGATTAACAGTTGCAAATAAACATTCATTAGAAATTTAGAAAAGTAATCAAAAGTAAAGTAATTGAAAAAGTTACACTACTATTACATTTTAAATAGGTTAACTTGTAATCTGTAACCTACTACATTTCCAAAGTAACCTTCCCAACACTGGTCATTTTCATTTCATCTTGCCTGTAATGCTAGTTTGTGAGCCCAGCATAACTTGTATTAGGGTAAAAAAAAAAACTGGAGGACATGGTAATTACTATATTTACACACCAGAGACTTTTAAATGAATTGTGAATCTAAAATATGCGTGTTTAGAGAATGTACAAATGGTTAACATATCTGTCAGAAAAGCAGTTCTGGCCTTTTTTTTTTATTTTTTTTTTAAGCTAACTTTGTTTTTATTCTTGGCTGAATAACTCTAGGTTTTCAAAAGCCCTTTAAAATTAAATATGTACACAGTTTGGATTAAATGAAAGTATAGTCAAATTTTTTAATTAGCATGTTTTTGTGTTTTGCTTTGGTACCAAAATTGGTACCGAGAATCGTGGATTTTCACTGGTATTGGTACCGAATACTGAAATTCTGGTACCGTGACAACACTACCTGGGGCTAAGCAGATAAACATCCAATTTGCATTTTTGGGTGAACTATCCCTTTAATTCGGGTTGGAGCTAAACTCTGCAGGACAGTGGCCCTCCAGAACCTAGGTTGGACACCCCTGGTCTAAGCCATTTAATAAAGTAATAAAGAGATGCATGCTTTGAACAATAGAACAGAAATAAACCCACAGTTCCACATGATAGTGGCACCACAACACTGATAAGGTTTCAAATTAAGTGATTTGTTTACAGCACATAATACAGTAGTAGAGTTTGTCTGTCAATAAAGCAAACAGCTGAGACTCCCATAATACTCCAGGGATGCAGAACTTTTTTTCAAATATTAAAGTCTAAAAACAAAACTAATAATTTAAATTAAATAAAATGGCTATGATGCAGTTAAAACACAAAGAAACTCGTGTAAATCGGAACACGCCTTATCATACACTGCAAAACCACAAAATGAATCCGTTACAAATCAACGCACGTTGAAATAAATGCACCGAAAGAGACCAGCGCTTTGCGCGCGAACAGTCGCAGTTGACCCCATTGGCACAGTGCTTCACTGTAAGTTTTGTCTTATCATTTGCCTTTTGTATGAGGTGCGAGCCACATTAGCGAACTAGATAATTAGCGTGTTATCTTTATGAAAGACCATAACAATATTTAATAAATGACAGACAATTAATAATAAATGAGAGGGGAAAATTGTTTTCCTTATAAATGGTACCCATTAATCATATAACGTTAACGTTACCAATGAATTATCGTGCTTATTCGAACATTTATAAAAACCCATACACACGCACCTTTGGCTTCTCGTCTGCCATGACTGTCTGACTGAGTGATGTTAGGTTCTTGAACGAATCGTTCTTTTGAGCCGGTTCTCATGAAGTAACCGGTTGAGCCGGTTTAAAATCGAACTGAATCGAACTTTAGTTCCGGGTTGATGACGCAGGACGCACAGCCGAAGTTGCACGTCCAACTCAAAAAGAACCGAATGAGCCGGTTCAACCAACTGTCGAAGTTTGCCGAGGATTACCGAGGACTCAACAAGAACCGAATGAGCCGTGTTCAACCAACTGTCGAAGTTTGCCGAGGATTACCGAGGACTCAACAAGAACCGAATGAGCCGTGTTCAACCAACTGTCGAAGTTTGCCGAGGATTACCGAGGACTCAACAAGAACCGAATGAGCCGTGTTCAACCAACTGTCGAAGTTTGCCGAGGATTACCGAGGACTCAACAAGAACCGAATGAGCCGTGTTCAACCAACTGTCGAAGTTTGCCGAGGATTACCGAGGACTCAACAAGAACCGAATGAGCCGTGTTCAACCAACTGTCGAAGTTTGCCGAGGATTACCGAGGACTCAACAAGAACCGAATGAGCCGTGGCAAAGTTTGCCGAGGATTACCGAAGATTCTGATGAGTGAGTTGACGATACTGTGCAAGCCTGAGGCGCGTACTGGAAATATGCTTGTTTATGACTGTTATTAATTTAATTTTATTAAAACCTGCAAAAACCTTTCTGTCGAGTGATGTAAATGAATTTTACAATAGTTTATTGTGCATGCATATTATATTTAAAGTTTCTTAAGCGAAATCAAGGAGTTTATAAGACTGGTTTATACATTCTTTATACTGTAGACATGTAGAACATATCCGCATTTGTGCATCAATGTCTGTAATGTGTGCTGTAGGTGCGAA